AAATTTCAGTTCTTTGTTTTTGCGTCGAACGCAGTTAAGTACTCCGTGCATCCTTAACTCATTCATCGAAAGTGTTGAACATCCGAAAGGGATAAATCCTGGAATTGAGTTTCCCAAAGGTTCCAGTCTTGGAATGGTTGCAAAGACAGAAAACAAATTGAACATTGGAATCGAACAAAGAGGAATAAGATGCAGACAACCGGGAACCAAGCAATTCAGAACGAACATCTCACTTTAGCGAAACGTCACACACGCGGACAGATCGGATCGGATCAGCGAGGACAATTTCTCGGCTCTTTAAACTTTCAAATTCCGAATTGGAATGTCAAATATCTTCCCTTTTCGGCGAATCTATAAATATCGGTAACCTCACAATGACTCACGCATTCCAATCCACCAGCCAGAAGACCACTTTTCATTTCAAAACGAGTCTTTTTTTTCTTCTTCTTTTTTTCAATACATTGCTTCGCTCTCGGCTCTAATTCAAACTGCCCCCAGAAAAAATGAATCGAATCACCCTACGTAGCCATACTTATCCCTGAATACTAAATGTTCGAATAAGTAGCGAAATAAATGATCGGGATCTGAGAACAAATTTTTTCCACGCTACAAATCTTGATTCCCAGTCTTTCATCGAAGGATTTCATTTTTAAATGCTTAGTTTTCATTTCATGGTTGAAAAACGAGCAATTTCTTTTTTATGAAAAACGTCACTTCACTTTCAACGTTCGCCATTTGGCCTCGATGATTTTTTAAAGAAAAAAGCTTCGATTAAAAGCAAAATAAACTAATGGGTTAACTGAATTTTCCCGAAATTTCGATGTCGGATGATCCAGTTCCAAGCAAGTATGGTCACCGCGAACCACATTTTGTCAGAAAGGCCTTCCAGGAAATCCTGCATAATTCTCGAATAAATCAAAATTTCGCATGAGAAATTTAACGAAATTTTCGTCAAACGTGCCTTTATTAAATACAAAAACTCTCGTGGAAATAAATACGTACGTTTTCCCTGAAAAATGACCAAAGAGTCGCTATTTTTCTCTCACATCCCACAGATGACCCCTTAACGACCTGTATTAATACCGCTAATAGTTTGCATCATGTTCGCTCCTCCTCCCCCTCCGTCGACGAAATAAAATGTAACGTCCCTAATAGCACAAAAGTATTAGTTAAATATGTGTTTCAAATATTGAAACAATATTTTTTGAGCCACACTTTTTAATATGAAATAAATAGTGAATCCAAATATTGTATACATATTCATAGAATATAAAAGAAACATTTAAACAATTTTTCTTTCTAATATTAAAAAAAATTTATTCTATATTTGGAAAAATTGTTTTGTTTCCAATATTAAATAAATGTTTATCTTGTATTGGGAAAAAAATATTTTTTTCGTAGTATGAAATACACATTGTATGTACATTTAAATATTAAAAGGAGATTGAATTTCTTTTTAATATTGGATGAATATGCATTCAATATTTTGTGCTACTAGGGGTTTGCGCTTTTTGGACGTCCATCGAAACTGCGACGATCTTTCTTTTCCTTCCCTCTTTATGCAATCGGTGATCCAGTTTCTCATCGTTAATAGTGCATAATGACGGAGTACTTTCTTTGCCGATCATTCGACAGACGTGTTATTCGTTTGGAAATGTTTTAATTAACGATCGAGACAATCTTCCGTCCGCCTCTCGTCTACCTCGATTGGAATATTCCACGTATTTTTCTGATTGTAATTCATTTTTTTTTCTTTTTTTTTTTTTATCGCAATGACTTCGAATATCTCAGGGTTGGAACAATTATCCCGAGCGTCGGCAGCCTCTGACGGATACGGCCATTGTTCCCCGTCTGGGAGTCGATGCTCCTAATGACGCTATTGTCGGCCGCTGAGCACGCGGCGGAGGCGCTGCGAAGAAAGTAAACAACAGAAAAGGAGATCAACGCGAGAATGCATTTGCCGGCTCGAGGTTTCGAGTGACTGCATTCCTATTCCCTGTGAATTCTGTTTTCTTTTTTTCTTTTTTTCTTTTTCACTGGACGAATACACGCAAGAAATTTTTTTTGCGAAATCTTTCGGAACTTATGTAGAAGGAGATGACACACAGTTTACTGGTCGAATATCAAGTATCGATAATACACGACAGTTGGAATTTTTCGGTCGGTGTTTGAATAAATTCTGAAAAGGTCAAACTGCAGAAAAGCTACTCCCCGATTTCGATCATTTTTGGATATGTTGTAAAACTCGACATTTCGAAGAACTTGTCGAAGTTCGTCGGTCGAATAAAATTCTTTTTATCTCAGTTATTTGTTTTGAATATGGGAAATTTTCGTTTTCTTGTAAATTAAATTGCACGGAACGATAATAATACTTGAGCGTGTAGTTTTGCTCGTCAATTATTCTGTTTTCGATTCGAAAGCCAAGAAAGCATGGCGATAAATAAGCTTTTGAAGTTACAAGGCTAAGTGTTATTCAAGTGCATTGAACATAACAAAACTGGGAATTCAATGTTTCTTCTATTTTATTGATCGTTTCCAAGATTCTTCTCAATTATTTGCCATTTCTTGAAATAGGTATTTCATAAACAACCGTGAACAATTATATTCCAACAGTTCGTCGGCTAAAAAATCTACAATCTTCGCTAATAAGGAAGATTTCTCGTCGATTATTCGAAACAAGTATTAAAAAAAATCACATAAAGATCTTTTTCCATACAGGATTCTGTAAACTTCGCAGTTAGCGATGTTTTGATCGAACAAGACTGCATTCACCTGCGTAGAAACTTAATATCATCGATTAGCATACCTCTCTGAAATTGTCCAAATAACAATTCACTATCTTTTTTAATACGATTGTAATATAGATACTAGAGATCATATTCTTTCCATTTTCTTAAAAATAAAACTCGAACTTAATGCATAAATCGTGGATCATTCATCCTGGGACAGGGAATGCAGGATGATTTTCATTTTGCCTCGCTTCCGAGTTGGTGATTGTTAAAAATACCATATTTCGCCCATATTATTTATTACCCATATTTCGCCTGTATTTTCAACAAGTCTTACTATAGTTTGGCATCTAGAATTCACCTTGAGTGGAAGCAGGGATTTATTTTCGGTTATACCTTTGCCCTATATAGCCCTATATAAGCCTTACCCTCATAGAAACCGAAAGAATACCGGTATTTATTGCTTTAATGTCATAATACCGGTTTAAGTCCCTGTGTGAAAGTGTCTTACATTTTTATTAACACCCTCTGTAATGTGTAAATAATGGTGTAAGTCGGTCATTTAAAAAGTGTTGGTGAAAGTGTTAATGCAACCAAAGTCGACACCTTCCATCAATCCCTCCCCTAAAAAAATCACCACATACATACAGTGAGAGTTAAAACTAAGTATACACCTTACAATTGTGAGTTTTGTGTAATACTTCTGTAGCATCTTACTATTATAACATCATGGCAGTAATATTGGTATGATTTTCTCAACATTTTCGGGATAAATAGGCAGTCAAAAAATTTCGAAAAAAATTTAATTATGTCACACCTATTTACTCGATCAACAACTACTCCACAGCGTTGTCATCCAGCCACAACCGATAGTGTCCTAAACCGTTCGATCTCCCGTTAAAGGGCGCAGTGTTCTTGTCCTCGTTCTTCTAAAAATAATTGCACCGCGCAAAGAGGTTAGCGAACCGGGCAAGGCGGTATATTTTATCGTCGCGTAATCACAGGAAAATCGTAGTAACGGGCTGTGAGGTTTATCCGTGACGGCGATGCGTAAAATCACGAAAAAAACGAGAGAGAAAAAAAACGATCCTGAAACGAGAAGACAAAGGTAGAGATGCCCCTCGAGGGAAGACTTGTTCGTTTTTAGATAAATTGCAGTTATTAAAATTACTGCAATATGGTATAAAATGATCCTTCGGTATACCTTCAAAGAAATGCAAATAAAAAATATAATTGATCAGGTAGCTAAACTCTATTTAAGCCAATGTTAAGATAAATAGACTATCTTAAAAAAAAAAACTACTTTACTTTTATTTAAATAATGAACATTTGTATTTTTTATATAAATTACGCCTTAAAGGGATCGTTTTAGACACCTATCTCCTACCTTGGATTCGGGACTACTGTTGTCGGTCGTTAAACGCATCGTCCAGGAGGATCCGATAATGAGACCGCGCGCGCAGTTTGAACGGGCATCACCCTCGGACAGGGGAGCGAAGTTTAATTAGCGGGCAACTCGCGGATGAAGTGGGGGTACAGTCATGGATCCTCTAACCCGAGGCGGGGCAGCTGAAATTTCGCGAGGATCGCTCCGAGCGGAGTCTTTCATTTGCTCAGCCGGCTGGTTTTGCTAGTCGAGACGGGTAGAAAGACTTCTCGCCAGCCTGGACTTTAATACGGCTTTCTAAATAGAGGCCAACGTTCGGGGGGGGGGGGCCCGCTAATCTCGCAAACCTCTACGACCACGCGCTGCCGCTGCTAACGATCCTCCATTGAACGCGATATTAATCAGCCTCCACGCGAATCTTCCACGTTTGTCCTTCCCACGTGCGACAGCTTTGGTAACCCGAACATTCAGATTTTTATGAAACTTGGCTGGTTTGTACGGGACCTCGATAGATGCGTCAGGCAATTTCTATTTTTGCTACTTTCTCGTCAGCCAATATGGCTTTCCTATTTTTGTGTTATATCCTGGAAACTATGGTAGATGTAAGAAAATTATTGGAATGAAAATTTAATAGCACTTTGTGCTCTGTAAAACTGTGCAAGGAAATTCGTACAAATTTGTTGTTTGAATAAAATTAATTAATCTTTAAGAATTTCATTGGGTGGTTGTGTAGAGGATGAAATGCTGTTAAATTTTCGTTTTAACAATTTTGTTGTATGTACTGTAGTTTGCAAGATATATGGAAAACAGGAAAGCTGTGATGACGCATGATTTCTTTACTGGTTTTTTATCACCGGATCTAACGCGATGCGTTTTGATTCTAGATCCCAGGGTGGGGCATTGGGCGATGATGAGCAGCCCCTTACCGACGATGGCGATATGCGTGTCCTACGCTTACTTCAGCAGGGTTCTGGGACCGAAGATAATGGAGAACAAGAAGCCCTTCAACCTCCGGCAGGTTCTGATAGTGTACAACTTGGTACAGACGATATTCTCCTCGTGGATCTTCTACGAGGTTTGTCCATTTTCTATCAGACATTCGATTTCGATCGTTTAAGTATCGGTTAATCTTCGAACATTAACACTAGAACTACCAACGATAAACGCATATTTTTTCGATCGATCGATAAATACGGCAAACTTTGGAAAATTTACAAATTTTTAAATTAACCAACTTCTTTAATGTCGTATCGTAATAAAAGTTACAGGAGATCTGAGAAAATGTATTGTTATAACATTTTAATCATCGTTGTAAGAGTGTATTGGCAAGTCATTTTGACTTGCTTGGTAATTCTAGTGTTAAGGGCCGTTTCGATACATTAAAATATCGAAAACATAGTTTTAACTTGTTTCATAGTTTTTGCTTAATTAATTTCATATTATTCCATGAATACGAGGGTTACTGCTGATCTAGTTGATCGTCGATTAAAGTTAATCGAAGTGGCTCTAACACGGGGAATACAATTTTCCAAGCAGTATTCTTCTCTCTCTACTTTTACGTTTGGCAAAATTCACCGAAAGTCACGTGGCAGCAATGCTATCAGTTTTGTCTTGAACTTGAAATAAACAATTCTTACGCTGTTAATGTTAATAAGGTCGGTGAAAAAAAAAAATACAAAATATTATCTTTACTACAGCTTGCCCGGTGTTAATATTAATGTCAGGAATACTTAATGTTGACATTCCACATGTGTACTGTTTGGTAATGTTGGAACACGTCGTATGGCACGAGTACACTTGTTGGACAAGGTGTAACGAACTCGTAAACTTTGTTTGAGCAACAACAGAATCGTTTTTCACACCTCGGGATAGCCATCTTCTCGGTAATTTCAGTGGGAAACGTCTCGAACCTCGCCCCGGGCCGTAGATGTCCCAACTGAAAGTCGGTTTTAATTAATTTCACCGCGAAAAGTCTTCACTTGGTCGAGTCTGAGGCCTGCTGAGGTCTTAATACGCGTCGAACCTCAGACTTTCAATCATCAGCTCATGTTTTTTCACTTCGACAATATTTTGCTTTGACTTATATTCGACCGGTTTTTACGAAACGAATGCTCATTTCACCAGAAACCGAGAAAGTCGGTAAGAAAGGACCACGTACTTGTTGCGAAATGGAACGTCTATTGTTTTACCTTCTGTTTCTTTTAATCCTTTTACTTCCGTATCGCGTTCACCCTGATGTAATAGTCTACGAAGTGTGAAGCTCCTTTTGTCTGTCTTGTTCGAATGGGATCAATTATAGCGATACCAGAAGAAACGCAACTGAAGATTTACCTTTCATATAGAACGTATCAGAGACGAGGAATACCTTCACTGCTGGTGAAAGATTTAACGTTGGAACTACCGACGACTTTGGCAAGGGGAAACTTATGAAAATAAACAAATCTATTTATTATTTATTTCATATATTCATTATTTTATAAAATATTTAATATTCAGCGTCGAGTAGCCTTCGCAACACTCATCGAGGATTTACTGTATCACGAAGAAAAAAGGGTTGACACACGTTGACCACAGAAGCAACACATTTGCTCTTTTCACCCTTCCAAAAACGTGCGGTTTCACGATTTCTCTAATCCTGACACAGAAAACACGCCGCCGTGTGGTTCGCGGACAACGGTGGCTCGTTGAACTCGTGGCTCATGGCCGGGGACAAAATAATCCCATTCCGACGTGTATCATCGATCCCGTCCAGAATAATTAATAGGCCGGCCTCGGCGGCGTACGATACGACGACTGTCCCTTTATTCGTGAAAGTTATTGCCTGCCGGCTACGATTCCAACGACGGACTAAGACGAGGACGACGACAGCTCTCCGTAGGTTGCGTAAGTCCTGGGTGTCAACGGAATTTGTCGCGCGGACGACAACGTTGAAGCTCGCGATCGCGACCGAGATACCGAACCTGTGAAACTCACCGCCCCACGGTCATCGCTTTCCTGCGAAACCGTTCTGACCACGCTCACAGGTAGTAAAGTAGGGTATCTGTCATTTAAAAGAAATACATTTATAAATAAACATAAACAACATTTTTTTATTATTAAATTTTCCTGTCATTTTGTGTAGGGATTCGACCTCGAAAATTGAACAGTAAATGACAGAAATTTCCGATAACAAGAATTGTGACGATAAAAATAGTTATAGTTATATTCGACGGATTCGCGATTTGACGAAACTAATTTCCTGGTCCCATGAATCGCGACGTTTCGATTGCCCCGATGCCCGTCGGGGATCGGGAATGCGCGTGCGTATTTAATGAAATACCGATCGTATTTGGTTTGCGCTTAGTATGTCGCGTGCGCGGCCGAGTACTGTTATTCCGTGAGAATCGTACTCACGTAGGTACCGTCGTCGCGTAACTTTCTACGCGGTTTTTTTTTTCGTCGGTCCAATTATTATTTACCTGCGGGATCGCGATCGGTTCTTCTTTTTTTTTTTTTTTAACGATCAACAGGCGGATGGACCGTTGAAAGTAAGACTTATTTTAAGACAACTTTATTTTTTTTTTAATGGAATCATTTATTTTTTACTGCATTGATTGATGCAGCTCGTCATTCCCCGTAAAAAAATTGTTAATTTATTTATACCGAGGAACTATTAGTTTAGCAGATATTTTCACATAACTTTATGACGGTAAACATCGTATCACTAGTACCACTGCGCCAATTTTTGAATTAAAATATCTCCTAAATTAATGGTTTCGCGGTGATTATAGAACACATTACGTACACCACATAGCGGGAAAAAAAGTTAAATTGGACCAAAAAGACTATGATTTCAAAGTCACACGGCAGGATAGAGGGTTAAGAACAATTCGAAACCACCGAGAAACACTCTGCAAGCGGATCGAACAAGTTGTTAAATATTAAATCGATTGATATTCAGAAGCACACGTTGGATGTATCCTCGTCGTTTATTGTTGCGAAAAATCGAACCAGGGTTAGACGATGTTCGTCCACGTAGACGTTGAAATTCGGCTTGAGCTATTAACCGGAAGTGGTCGTCGGCGGTACATCCGACGAGTGCATATTAGACCCGATCGAAGGCGATGAAGTGACGTCGAGAGAGCACTCCTCAAATATCGGGGTGACGTCGTCGGATTTTATCAAGTGGCGAACGGCGGTGAATCGTCGACGAACACCGGGAAGAATGTGTCCAGCCTCTTATTACTAGAGCAGAGTCGTATAGCCTGGAATCGATCGACTTTAGTAAAGTCATTCCGATCATTATTCTCTTACAGTGTCGTAGAAAAGTATTCGTGGACTTGGAGACTTTTATCATCGATCGACAGGACTGGTTTTCGTTGTAACACTCGAGACAACTTGAAAATTTCAAGTTTCATAACAAAATAATACATTCTGATAGGAGTTCGGTAAGAAAAACAGGACGGTTTACTGGTATAATCTAATATTTCGCCAATCCTGGTAGATTGAATTTACTAAAAATTTTACAAGTCCTACAAAACATCCAGTCACCTTCGCGATAAGCACAGCAAACCGAATGAAATTCATGATTGTTTATTTGAAATGTTCTATAGTAAATTGTAAAATGAGAACGAGAAAACATTTTGTACATAGCCCCGACGAATAACATTGCTTACGTGCATAAATGAAAATCAGACAGTTTATGTAATGCATAATAACCCTGTGTAATAAACGGTCAGATTATACATTTAATTACAGACTTTTGTTCCAACAAGATTAGAGCCGTAAACAAATGTTGTACATTTTTTTCTCTTAAAGGACAAAAAAGAAAGCTCTGTAGATCGTCCTAGAAATTAGCTGTTAAGGTATATAATTATACAAATCATAAATATTACATAAATTACACGTCGTGTGAGGTCCATAGTAATAGAAAATCGGTAAAAAACAGCTGTACGTGTAGTAACACTAATTACCGACAGTAAAGATAAACATTGAAAATTACGTCAGAGATCACGAACAACAGATATGGACGAGATCTTACCAGAAAAGAATCAAATTAACCCCTTTATAATTTTTATTATATAACCTCTTTACAATTTCTTATTATGTATACAAAAATAGACTTTTTTTTTCTCGTAAAACTATGTATTTTACGTTTCGGTAGAAGTCCCCGGTTCCTAAACATTTATATAATTAAATAACAAAATAAAAAAAGGAAAAGCTGGTACTGGTGTTGATGGTTTTCCTAAATTTTAGCAAGCGTTTCTTCATTTCCCCTGTGATCGATCGCGATTTTCGAAACTGCTGTCGAATATAAAACCATGGAACATTGAAATTTTCTTGCATTCTAAATCACGAGGCGATCGGTAGAAACGCCTGAATATTAACACCAGAACTACCGACGATGAACGCATATTTGCTTCGATCGGTGGATAAACGTGAAAAACTTTTAAAAATTTAGAAATTTAGAAATTTAGAAATTGACTAATTTCTTCACTTTCATATCGTAATAAGAGGTGCAAAATATCTGTGAAAATCTATTGTCATAACTTTTTAATCGTCGTTGTAAGAGTGTATTGACAGGTCATTTTGACTTGCTTGGTAGTTCTAGTGTTAAGATGATACAAGACGTGTGTGCTCTCATAGCGTGATTCGACGATTCTGTTTTGATAAATATTTTCGCGTTCGATCGAGCACAAGGTCCCCCGTTGCGTTAATGCAGAGCCGTAAATCGTCTTCCCGTCCTCACTCTCTCTTCGTCTACAATAATGAATCCCCTCCCCCTGGGACTTATTTATGAACGATGGCAGACGCGGCTCCAGGCGACGTTTCCGACATTCTGGGTTTCTGTTTGCCCATGTAAACGAGTCTAATAGAATTCAAATGAAATTTGCAAACGCAGCACGACACACATACACTTCGTCCGTCTCGGTTGGTTACTGCTATGTAGGATCGATAACCGGCGCCGGAGCACCGTCTTTTATCCGACAACGGCTGCCGAAAAATTTCGCCCCTCGTTTCGAGGGTGCACAGCGTTCTTCGTTGGTCACCGTGGTATTAAGATCAATGTCCCTATTTTTAATCACTAGACTGCAG